CGTCTCTAGGAGGTAGAGAACGTGTTTGTTGAGAACGTGAAAGAAAGGAAAGATAATCGTAATGTATACTATAGCTCTTCATTCACAAAGGCTGGAACGTCGAGATTTGAGCAACGAATGACGTCGACAGGCCCACGCTCCTCAAGGGTAGTGCAACGGCGTTGCAACAAAGTCTTATCCTGACTTATTTTTCTGATTCTCGCGAGTTTCCGCCAAAGCGGAACAACTGAAAAAAAAAGCCCATAAAGACTTTATTAACAAGATACTCATCTCTTTCGGCATAGTTAAAGTTCGCCTAACGGTTGCATGACAAACGAGCGAAGGACTGCACCGTATTCAAAGGCCAATGACCGGAGGGACATGAAGAACTAGCCCTTAATCGTATTGGTTTTCGTTTTATTTCCTTGAGAGCACAAGCCACATCGAATGTGGCGTTTAGAGCGCTGAAAAAACGTGGTGCTTATATAGAAAATTCAATTTCCTGGGTGAATATCCGCATGGAAATTTGCCTTAATGTATGGTATATAATCTTCATGAGCTATACAGATAATTTAATTGTGACGCTCGATGTGCCGCACCACTTGTATATGTTGGCAGGGACCATTAAGAAACAAATGCATGCGAGTTCAGCTTATCGCGTTAAGTTATCTGGTTTTGTTCGATGGAGAACGATACCGACAACCAACAACCCTAACTTCTTTGGCTGCTGCAGCGAGACACGAACCCGAAAGGCACATGAGCGAAACAGAGCGTTGTCATAAGTGTCGGCTGGCGGTAACATACAAACAGTAAGTAAGCGCTGATTAGAGATATAGTTGATGTGGTTTCTAATTTTGTTCAAGCTACGGAACGTATTCAGCTTTAGTCTGCACTTCAATACACTGATGAAGAAAATAAAAGATGTAGGAAAATACGACACGGATGGATGGATGAACTTTGCCAGGTCTTTCGGAAAGTGGTTGAGCTCGTTGGAGGCCGCTCCCACGACGGAACAAAAAGACCAAATTTCTCTGCTGCTTTGCGTGCCCTTCGCACTGCCCATAACTGTTGCTCGAGTCTGGAGCTGGTAATAGCAGCCTCCCATTTAGACGGCATGATGACTTCACCTCAGTGGAACGCGGGGCACCGCCAGAGTATGTGGTCTGAGTTGGCTATATCATCGCATATTCATTACAAATTGGTAGGGTTGAATGAACTCAGTTGTGGGGACAGCTCGAAATTGCAAAATTTAGGCGATACATCAGCTCTCATTCCGGTTTCATTTCCTTTCTAATTTCACTGTTTATTTTATTTACTTAGTAATATTTTATTATTAATAAGCAGTTTTCAAGTTGTCTCAGAAATGTTACGGTACGCTGTTTCGGTGAATATTCCAGAGTTCGTACGTACGATAGCGTTGAATGAACGAAAAGACTAACGAACAAACAATGTGCCCAGAAACGAGTGCACGATAATCCCTAAGGGCCAAAAAAATGGAGCAGGCTCCATTGTGGAACATGGGTTCACTAAACCTATAACTGTCATCCACGGGAGTGATTGTATGTGCCACAAAAGTTTGGTCAAATTACACCACAACTAACTAGTCCCTGCAGGTTCTGTTGAGTAGCACACGGGTGGCAAGCACCAATGAAGATTTCTCGGCAGGCGTAACGAACAACCAAACAAGTCTCTAATTAACAAATCACCGGGATTAAAGCAGTAGTGAATACCACGGCTGCATATTTGAGCTTCGCTGTGTTGTCGGGATCCTGTTACGTGGCCCTTTTGCGGAATTAAAAAAAAAAGCCTTGAAGGTTATTGGCTGTAAATAACTGCGTAGGGCAGCCTGAGACGTAAAGTAAGACATGCGTAGGTATATCACCACTTGTGGGTCATTTACAACGCCGCGGCCGCTACAGCTGTACCCTCTCTGGACCTTAACGATAGGTATAGCGCGAGAACAGAACGACGACAAAGATACAAAGACAAAGAGTTTCTGTGTCGTCGTTCTGTTCTCGCGCTATAACTGTCGTCATGTCATACCAACTAGCCCTAACTGCCACACTTCTGGACCTTAAGCTTCTCAGTCACGGGCCTAGGAATATCTTCGTTGGAATTTAGATATGTCGAACTTCAGGAAGTCTTTGGATGAATTAAGTGATCGAATACTAGAGCGGCTGTTTGCAGGGAAATAACAATGTTCAGGCAATGCTTAGAGATTGTTGTTCTAAACACATATTGTGGCCCGAATTCACGGTGCAGGAAGTAAAGAAGAAAATCGGAAGGAACGCAGTGACCTTCAAGGATGACGGAAGTTTGGTCATTAAATGGTAGTCTTTGTGAGCTGATATAAAGCAAGACAAGGAACATTTGTAGATTGCAAATGAACAAAGAAATTCCTCCACTAACTCCTGAGAGTCCTTTTCCTAGAAGGAACGTCTTTTTTTCCCGGAATCGGAACTACTTTCTCATAAAAAAAATTCATCTTTGCGACTTATCGGAAGGATAGGACCGGTGAATTGGAGTATGACGCAACACATGCACAATTTATAATTCACGCTGGCACTCCTCTTAGGCTGTTTAAGGACTACCGCCCGATAACTTCGCAAGGTGTATTTGATTGTACATAAGGTACAGATTCTCGTACATGACGAGTGGTTTAAATGAAAGTCTTGATGAATTATCCATTGTGATTATGGGATATAGTGTCGAACCAACGAACAAAAACAAACAAACAGAAAAACAAACGAGCGAACACACAATATACAAAGGTAGTTTAAGTATCGTAGTGCGACTGTTGGTGCTTCTGGTGATCGGGAGAAAAGCATCGAATGCGGTAGTGGACATCGTCGGGTCGGCACTATTACGGAAGTATTGTATTTCATTGTTCTTGAAGGCGCGCGTTCATAATGACGAAAAAAAAAGAGATGACCTGCTTACTATATTCCAGTAATGAAACTCTCCAAGATAGACTATGTCATAACCCACACGAGGAAAATATAACTCCGCAATAACGGGCGGTTTCATTTCAAGAGCTAAGTTGCTCCAGCTTGGTGCAAACTTTCCGTCGTGGTGGAAAGAGTGATTAGGGTGTTCGGTTGCTCACCTGAAGGTCGCGGGTTCGATTCCGGCCGTAGCAGTCGCACTTACATGAAGGCGAAATGGTAGACGCCCACGTACTGTGTGATGTGAGCCCATGTTAAAGAACGCCTTATGATCGAAGTTTCCGGAGTTCGCCTCCACGGCTTATCTTTTATGATATGGTGGTTCTGACACGTCATACCTCGGATACTATCACTAAGTTGGCGTACAAAGTCTGTTTTGAGCTAAGGCTAGCATTAGCATGAACCTACGAACACTTGCCCTTGTTCTTGTACAGCTTCTCGTGTGGCTCACACCCACTGTGGGGAATTGGCCAAAAATTGAGGGGTCTTATAAAATCTTCTAGAAATTTAGAGTGATAGAGGTTATAGATAATACATCGCAAACTATACATGAAATTTCGACGCTCACTCAAATGTACGAAATGTGATGCTTTTTTATTATAATAAATAATAAATTAAGTCAACACTTGTTCTTGTTCTTGTTGACTTTCTCTTGTGAAAACCAACCCTTGACCTCTTTTTTCCTCATCGTCCTCTTCTATTTCATACAAAAACATCTGCGCCGATTCGTCCAGCGCACGGCAAGGAGTTGACCGAAAGAGAGAAAGAACGGGAGGTAAGGAGAAAACGAGATCAGAAAAAGCAAAAAAGACGGATTGAGTCAGAGGGATTTGTTTGCTTAGCGAATCCCACTAAGTGGTATGAGCCATAATTTGAAAGAAACAAACAAACAAAAAGAGGAACAATCTTGGCAACAAATTTACTCACAAGGTGGCGGGATATAAAAACGCGTACCACGGATACGAAGGTGAGCGTCATTACTAGTTGACTATACAGGGACGCTGATCACACGTAACATAGCCTGGTGTAGTATTGTGTTGGAAGGGGGCTCAAAATGGAAGTAGAATTGGGAGCACGGAAAGAAGGAGGGAATACGGTGAAGCAATGCACATAGGGAATGAAAAAGAAAGAAGTAGGAAGAAAAAAATAAAAAAATAATCTGAAATTGTGGAAGACGGAAGATCGACCAAAGAAAAAAACGAAAGAAATAGAGAAAGAGGAAGCAAGGAACAAAAGGAAGCAAAAAGAAAAAGAAAAAAGTAAGAAATGAAAAAAGAGAGGAATAAAAAAATAGAATTAAACACAGACAAAAAGAAAGAGAAACAAAAGACAGAAAGAAAAGGAGAGAGAAAGAAATAGAGCAAGCAAAAAAAGAGAAGACGAAAGGGAATCAAAGAAGGCTACAGAGTTCCGCACTTTACTTGCGCTTGGCAACCTTAGTGCGAAGTTTTCCATCAGCTCCGCCTTGCGACTACGGTGCCAACTACATCATCTCTATTTGGTACGCATTATTAAAGATGAATAGATAACTCTACCTATTCCCACACTGAAGAAGAGGAACATGGTCAACTAAAAACAGCTTACAGACAAACACCTTTTCTAACTAATTCCACTAGAAAGGAAGTTTCACACTGATAGACATGCAAAATGTGCCCGGCAGGATCAGAAGTGTAAATACATGAATAGTGGAAGCTACTGCGAAGACTGCCTTCGAAGTGAGCCGCGTGTAGTTGAGGACTCGGAGGCACTCAGGCAACAGTATGCCGACATGGGCAGTCCAGAAAGCCCGTAAGGCGGCGTTAAAGCCAAAACCTTGAACTCCCAACTTCGAAGACCAAAGCCCGCGTAACGTTAATCCATATCACTAAGCAAAGTCGTATTCACCAAGCCATCGTTTGATTCATCCATGTACCCCTCACGGGCTGCTGACAAAGATACAATGCTGCGCGTGCTGAGGATAAAGAAGAAGAAGCCTTCCGTTGCTGCTGGTTCACCTAAACAAGTCGGGTGAGAAACCGTGTACAGAATTTCAAGCCCCCCCCCCAGATCCAAACAGCAGCCTTTTAAAACCAGCCGATGGACCTCCTAGTTCCCCAGCGGCTGGCCAGTTCTGATCTACGAACAAGCGAGTCTTTTGACTGCGAGGATGGATTTGGCTACGGGCGCTTTCAGAAGAGGATGCTCTTTCTTATTTTTATGGGCGCCTTTTCCGTTGAATGCCAAACGCTCGTGGTGTCCCTCGTCACCGGCGACGTCGACCATTGGTGCAAGCCGCCCATCGACCTCAACATCTCTGCCGCCGATTGGAAGAACGTTGCCATACCGATAGAGGCTGACGGAAGCTTCAGCAGCTGTCGCGTCTACGAACGCTGCAAAACGCCCACCCATCTCCGTGACTCTGACGACTACCAGAAGGACGACTCTGCGCCTGCTGAGACCGGTTGGTGGTACAACCGATGCTTCAACGTGAGCGAACTCCAAGACGCGAACGACAATCGCGATGCGCTTTGCGATGCTTGGGATTACGACCCTAATACGGCGGAGACGAGTGCCATAAGCTCTTGGAACTTAGTGTGCGACCGGCGCTGGGCACCAGCAGGCCTTGTCACCCTGCAGAACATCGGCGCCGTTGTTGCCCTTATCGTGATTGGAGCCTTCGTAGATTACGTCAGCCGCAGTGCCGTGCTCCTAGGATCTTACGCCGCGGTGGCGATCTCCACCGTATGTAGCTTCTCAGCGACAGATTACGCTTTTTACGCCGTGGCGCGGTTTTCCGCCGGGGCCAGCGTCGCCGTGCACACAGTCTTTACCATCCTAATACCTTTCGAATTTATGACGCATGCGCACAGGCCTCAGCAAGTCCTCTTCCTGGCCATTCTAGGCCTGGTCTCGGGCGAAATGTGGACTGTTGTCGTAAGGCTCGTGGCCGTCGACTGGCGCCTCAAACAGTTAATCTTCCTCGCCCCCACAGCTCTTCTGCTGGCCGCCTTGGCCACCGCGCAAGAGTCACCCCGTTGGCTTATAGCGAAAGGAAGGCTTGACGAGGCCGAGGCGGTCATGATGGAGGCTGCCAAGGCCAACAAATTCCAGCTCGCGCTCACGGCCTGCCTTGTCGAGAAGCTCAGGGAACATACGGACAACCGCGTCTATCAGGAATACGACAACAGAGAGGAAGACTTGCTGGACGCTCGCTCCCTGCGGCGACGAGCGTTGGTCATGTGCGGCGTCTGTTTCTCCATATCTTTCGTATTTCACGTAGGCGCACTGTCCACGGTGGAGTACAATGAATTCTGGATCGTCTGTTTCACGGTTATCGTGACGCTCTTGACGTACGTGGTGATGCACTTTCTCATCGCCGGCGTCACCCTGGTGATGGTACTTAGCACTTGCTTCCTGCTGGCCGGCTGCATACAGTGCGCACTGAGCGTCGCCGTCGGCACAGGACCGGGTATGGCTACGAAGATCCTGCTCGTACTCTCCAAGGGGGTCTCGGACGTGATCCTCGTTCACTGTTTCACCTACGTCCTGGAGCTGTTTCCGTCGGCCGTGCGCGCCGGTGTCGCGTGCTGGGCCTTCGCCTGCGGACGTGTAGCGGCCATATGCGCGGTGGTGATCCTCGTCCTGAGGCCCGTGGGACACGAAGACGTGTTCTTCGCCGTCACGGGTCTGGTGCTGTTCGTCACCCTGCTCTTCATTCGGGCCCTGCCGCGAACGACGGTCGTGGAGGAAGCTAGGATTGTGGCGAGGCGTGCTTCGGCCTCCAGCCGGATAGCCATGCAGCACATGAAACGGACGCTGGAGCGTCGCACGCCGAACGACCTCTCAGCGGTTCACAGCAGAGACAGTTCCGTTTCAATGAGCAGGAAGGGTCGTAGGAGTGTTGGAAACATCAGTCCCCGCTCTTCTTACACATCCCGGCGATCTGGTAGTGCGCGTGCGCCACAGTAAAATCAGCGAGTGCGAATTGTACTTTCTGCATATGACGTCGTGTTTACGACTCTCAGCAGCTGTGTTATACGTATGTCACTCGGTTTATAAACGTTTCTCTTTTGTTCACAAGACGCACACAAAGTATTTGGTTGTGAAGGCGATGCCTTCAGTGCGTTTAGCGGGAGAATACTTCTCGGCGTCACCTCTGGCACAAGATAGTGTGTTGGGCTAGCCTATAATTATTATTTTACATCAGTGTGCGAAAATATTCGAGCAAAATACATAAAAACACACAAGCACGCATTGCAGCACCTGCACATGCTTGGTTTCATTTTGTATTTCACGTCCACAGCTCTGACGCTTGAGACAATGTTGATGCTTTCAAGCGTTACCCGCTGCAAAATCCGTCAATTTTACATCCACTCGTGTGCATGGGTGTATAGATGGAGAAATTGTTCTTGATACAAATTGCATTAAAGTAGGCGATCGCTTAGTTATATGACAGAACAGTATTAAAATCGCTTATACGAGTGTATTTATTTCGCCAATTTTTTTCCGTACATGACTGTCATGCGACTATAAAAGAAAGTGCACTATTTTGAGGAGTCACCTTGTACGTGACTGCCGCCAGGCTAGAGAGCAAAAAGGTGATATTCGATTGTCTTCCAACCCATGATTGCCATGAACTCAAGGAAAAGAGGGGCTACTTGACAGTCGGCCTCCGCCGGCTTTCGTAAGCAAGTTAGCGTTCGTATAACACTCTCCACACCCGGGGTGACATGATTTTAATGCAGCGTGGCTTCGCATACGTAGCTCGCCTTGACGCGTCTGTAGCAGTTGGGAGGCCCTGAACGACGCATCAGAGCAACTTCATCACCTTCGAATTTTGGAAGCACCGGCTCAAGTCGGCCTCTCCTTTCGGCCGCTTCTCAGGCCTTCTATCTCCATTCAACCCGAAACTTGATAGGGCGGTGATGGGTGACGTGGGAGGCAAAGGGGTAGCGACTGACTGATCGCTGCACGCCGCCTAATGACGCGGCTCCTTTCAGCGACGCAGGGTTAACGGCCCGCCTACGCTTGTTGACGGGCCGGGCTCCTTTTTTTTTTCGCGTGTACGTCATCGCTTTTTCTTTTTTTTCGGCAAACGATGGGGCTACGTAATGAGCGAGGCGTAATCTTATTTGCGTCAAAAAGGCACGTCGAGATAAGCATCACGATGACGTCTTGTCGCGCTTGGCCGCCCAGGAATAACACGGCACAGCGGGGCGTAGTGTTTCATGATGTTGCAACACAGAGAATTCTGGCGCTTGTGTCTGTTGGTGCTGCCACACATGGCACTCCGGTCAGCACGGGAATTATGGGGAGCTGGGACGTAGGCAGAAATATAGATGGTCGCAAGGTCACAAGTGTTGTAACACTCCCCCCCCCCCCCCCCCAAAAAAAAAAACTTCCAGCCACCTCTTTTAAGAGCTGCTGACTTCGAAACTGAAGCACGTTCTCAAGTTTTTTTCGAAGATAATGAAATTCTCTCTTTAGTTTTTCAGACAAAAGGAACGTACGCAAAGTTCAAAGGGAATATCCTATCACATTCATGAAGCTGAAAAAAAGTATTTATTTGGATATATTTTGCCCGATGGAGGAAGGAAAGTGTAGAAAATGACCTGGCTGTTTTGAGAGGAAGGGGTGCATCCTTAGAACGATCAGTTTCCGCTCCTTAAGCCATGACGAGAGAACGCCAGACCTGCGCGCCTGGAGCAGCACAGTCACAGCGAAAGCAAGAAGAGCGGCCTTTCAGAGCCCTTTCAAAACGCTCATTGGGTAACCACTGCAAGCACACTTGCTTCATACCCACTGGGGCATCAGTAATAAACTTTTGGGTAGTTGGCCGGCACTCACTACGCTGTTTTTCACCATTGTTCTGAGAAGCATTGTATACGTTAAACACTTGCAAGGAATTTTGGGACAATTTTTGATGAAGTGGCGGACGACGATGAAGAATTGTACCTGAAGTGGGTATGTGCCACAGTTAATAACTGATCAAGAACAAGCTTTTGGAATGGGTTGGAGCAATGGACGGCCCACTCGTTACGCAATTCGCATTATGTGATGGCTGGCTGTTCCTTTGCTGTTTCCAAACGCTTTGTTACTCATATTAACGCGATTACTTTCCCGACATCAAGCCTGCCTAAGCCAGTTTGCACGCTAGTTCCCAGCACCGGCGTGTACCAGTGGTAGAATGCCAGGGGACCTGTGTTTGAATCCCATTCGGTGTTCTTTTGCAGCAAAAGCTGTTATGAGATCACAACTCGGGCCGCGCGCAGTTGTCCGCCCCTGCTGCTGCAGCCGCCGCCGGTGTCCGTAACCACGTCGCACACCAAAGGCACAGTGGGGCTCGAAACCCGGGTCTGCTGGGGGCAAGCCCACTATTCTACCTCTGAGTTATGCCGGTGCTGGTGACTTGTTGGCAAACCTAGCCCCAAAGGCACGGTGGGGCTCGAGCACAGGTCTGCTGGGTGCCAGCCCAGTATTCTACCACTGAGATATGCCGGTGCTTGTGACTTATTGGTAAACCTAGCACAAAGGACACACTCAGGCTCGAATATGGGTCAGCTGGGTGCCAGCCCAGAATTCTACCACTGAGCTACACTGGTGCTTGTGACTTGTTGGCAAACTTGCCTTAAGCAGGCTTGATGTCGGGAAAGCCATCGCGTTAATACGAGTAATAAAGCGTTTTAAAGCAGCGAACGAACAACCAGTCGTCGCACGATGCGAATAATGTAACGAGTGGGCCGTCCAATGCTGCAACACATCACAAAAGATTGTTATTGTTCCCCTGTTAACTATGGCGCACCTCACATCGGCCATAATTTCCCATCGTCGTCAGCCACTGCATGAACAATTGGCACAAAATTCGTTGCAAGTGTTTAGCGGATACCACGCCACTCAGAAAAAAATGACGAAAAATAGCATAGCAAACGACGGCTTACTTCCCAAACGTTTATTATTAAAGCCCTAGTGTGTATCAAGCAAGTGCGCTTGCAGTAGTTACCTAATGAGTGTTTTGAAAAAGGCTCTGCAAGGCCGCTCTTAAGTCTACCTTTCGCTGTGACTGTGCTGCGCCTGCCAAGCAGCCCTGGCCTTTTTTTTTTATTTAAAGAGATTTGTTTTCTTATTTTGTGCGAGAGTGATTAAGGGCACCGGCGGTGGCAGCAGACATCTACAGCACCCATGTTGATATCTCATAACAGCTTTCACTGTAAAAATTTCGGGAGGGGGCCATGAGCCCGGTGTGCCATCACCAGGCTACGCCTTTTATGGGTAGTACTATAGATGCAATTGTCGATGCTTCATACTTTCGGCTCCGTAAGAGCTTTCTTGGGCTCGCTCTTCCACCGCGCATGCGCATCCCCTCTATCTCCTCTCTTACGCTCCCCCATCTTGTGCCTCGCAAAGCCGATGCAGACAGCGTCTGCTAGCGAGCTTCTTGTTTGAAAAAAAAAGAAAGAGAAAAATCACTGCTCGCGCTGCTCAGCCGCAACACTCCACATCAACCCGTGATCCCTTTCGGGGAGACAGTGCAATTTTTAAGGGTCGAAGCTCCGCTTGGTCTAACCATGTCTTACGTCAGGCGTAACCGGCAGTATCGGCCAAACAGTATAATAGATGGCGCTGTGTAATCACCATTTCTCGTCTCATTTTCTCCATGACATTGGTCCAGCAGCACTGTGTGCAACAGGACGGACGGAAGCACAGATGGACGCACGGACGGATGGACAGAAGCACGGACAGATGCACAGACGGACACCTCGTCTCACTCATCATCATTCACTCCACGGATATGCTGTGATTTTTAATGCAGCAAAGGTAGAAGTTCGAAGTTGAGAAATTATTAGGCTTATTGAATTCGACCACGCTTTGGGGGTGCAGCTATGTTCCTTTACTGCTTTGTTTTGTTCGCACAGTAATAAAAAAACGGAGTAATAAATAAAACCTCGGTATTTCGCCGGTCGCTAACGAGGTCCCTCTGCAATTATACTGAACCTGCTAACAGTAGCTTTAAATACCAGAACCCCTTCAATCAGAACGCCAGACAGCAGGCTCTCCTTATGCAAATAACTGAATCGTCAGGCACTACCAAACGAACTTAATTACGCACCCGTGGCAATTACAAAGATCCGGGTGTGATCACAGAAAACACACACTTCGAGATTTTGATGCCTTTCAAGCCTCAGCGGATTCTGCTCTCCTCCCGATGAAAAAAATATTTGTTAAAACGGAGCCGAAAGAATTTTCAGATGAGCGGAAAACTGAAAAAAAAAATCAAGGGCCAATATTGACTCAAACTTTTGAACGAGATCTGTAATTGGATTTCGCTGTGGAAGACTCTTCACTTACTCCCATATAGACGCCTACTTTCTTGCTGATAAGACAAAAAAGAATTATTGAAGGGAACATACAAGAAATGTGTTGACAGAAATTAAAAGACTACATGGACAAAAAAAAAGTGCTCTGGCCATGTCGCTGAAATGGTGGTAGGTGAAACTTCGCTTTTGTGTGCCCAGCCAACTACACTATGTTCTTACTTTTTGTTCTTTCTTTCCTTCTTTTTTATTACTTTTCTTTTTATCCTTCTTTCTTTCTCTCCTTTTTTTGGTGTATTCATGGGAGAGGTGGTGGCAATCTACTGAATCAGGCTGGCCAATCCTGGTTTGTTGAGAGAATGCACTACTGGCTGTGTTCGCCAGTGAGGCCACTCTTTAGGTAGGCCTTTTTATGCAATTCAATAATCACGCCGATATTGAAAAAAAAGTGGGTTGAGAATCGACCAGCACTGCAATGCGAACGATTAACTTTTTGCATTCGAGACTGATGCTCTACCTCTATGCCAGTGCTGCATCGCTTGCTGGAAGCAGTAAATGAATGCGCATACTTTGCGCAGGAAGAAACTACGGAGCAGAATGTTGATACGGAAATAACAGGAAGAATAAGGCTGGTGTGGAGCACGTTCGGCAGCCATT